AGCTGGGTGGTCTGTGAGCGTGGAACTGTGCCCTCACAGAGCCTCCATGCGGGAGCCGGCCTGACAAAGGCCTCGGCCCGGCCTGGCAGGGCCCCACGAGGCCTGTTTCCAGGGGGACAGTCTGCAAAGCCTCCCGCTCAGCTGGGGCCTCCTCGGGAGTTCCGTCCTGTTTGCTCACTGGACCCCGATGGAGCCGGAACCCCTCCCGCCCCAGCACCACCTCCACGCCTCTCCTCCCTCATGGGGCCCCTTTGTTGGAAACATCTTCCCAAGGGACAGGAACCGAGCCATAACTCTATGCTTTCATCTGTTTAGCTCACATCGCACCCCCGTGCGAAGGTGTCATTAACTCCCTTCGCTGAGGAAGTGGATTTCCGCTCCCATCGGCCACGCGTGGTTGACCCCAGAACCCACTTCGACGCCACCTCCTATTGCGTACGGGGCCCCGACATGAAATTAGCTCAGAGACTGGGGGTCCAGCCAACCCCACATGTGCAGGTGAGGACGCTGAGGTCCGGGGAAACTGAATGAGCCGGTCAAGGTGCCACCACTGATTCAAAGCAAGTCAGGGGCCAGAGCTCACACTTGCTCACCAGGTCTGCGTCCCTCTCTGCCCAGTGAAACGACCTTTCCCACGAGGTCAAAAGACTGTGTTCAAACTGAGCCACGGCGGTCCAGGAACCTGATGGAACTTCTGGAGGACTCAGGTGGGAGCAGGTGTGGCTGAGCCCAGCGCTGTGCACAAGTTTGCATTCCTCTCCCCTCCCCCCCTAGTGAGGGCCCCTGGGTTTGAGGACACAGGGAGCTGTTCTCTGGCTATGTCAGTTTTCTAACAGACATGCAGGCTTTCTCGAGGTTCCCACTGCTTTCTAACAATACCTCACAGAGACACTGTGTGCCCAGGCGGTGGGACGTGGCGACGGTTTTCAGACGTGTGCTGCTGACGGGGCCTCTGCGTGCGAAGTGGTCCCGGGCAGACACCCATGCTCAGTGCCTTCGGGGGCTGTTGGGGGCCTGGAGGGTTCTGTTTTCTCCTGTCTGTCTGCAAGCTCCCTCAGGGCACTGCATGATGCCCTCAACCTACTGAGCTGGAAAAGAAATCTTCTACGAGACTCACCACTCTCCTTAATATGGCTGCACAGTCACCATTATTGGAAGTTTATACTTTCATTTTTTTATCCTCACCCGAGGATATGTGTGGGGTTTTTTTTTAATTGACTTTTTAGAGTGAGAGCAAGGGAGAGAGAGAGAAACATTGATCGTTTGCGTGCCGTATGTGTCCCGACAGGGAATTGAACCCACAACCTAGGCATGTACCCTGAGCGGGAATTGGACCTGAAACCGTTTAGTGTACAGATGATGCCCAACCAACAGAGGCACCGGGCAGGGGAAGTGTTTATGATTGAAGGGGCATCTGGTATCCCTCTGTGGTACCAGTTGGGCTCTGCTTTTCATATCCGTGAGCACTGGCTTAAAGAAGGGGCTCGGAGGGAGTGACGCCCACCCATGGAGGCTGGGGTTCCCTGAAGAAACTCTGAAAAACTTCTCATTCCCAACGTTACAACAACTGGAAAAGGATGGTATTTGAATAGCACAATGTGAAAAAACACGGGCACTCTTCTACAGGGAGAACCCCAAATGGAAAAAAAATGTGTTCACTATGGGAAACAATAGGAATGCCAGAGTTTGCAGCCTTGTAATGGCTCACAGAAGGTATTTTACGCTTGAAGTGGGAAAGGGGGCAGGAGGAAGGAGTGAGAGAAGGAAAGGAAGAAATAAGAAAGGAGAAGAAAAAAGATGTGTCTTAAAGTATTTCCAGCGCGGGCAACCGACACAGTTCAGTGTACTGAAGGCCGTTCTGCAAAGTCTTAAGGGTGAGTAATCAGGCGTTTAAAATGCAGCCACAAGATTTATAAGCACATAATGAGCGATAACGGCTCCAGAACAAGTAAATGGTAGGGCATGTCCCAGGTCTGGACTGCCTTTAAAGCTTTCTTTCTTCCTTCCTTCCTTCCTTCCTTCCTTCCTTCCTTCCTTCCTTCCTTCCTTCCTTTCTCTTCCTTCCTTCCTTCCTTCCTTCCTCCCAGTGACCAGACATTATATAACTT